TCCCGATGACGCACTGACTTTCTTGGGTTTTCCTGGGGGCTAACCCTCCCGGGGTTAAAAATCCGAACGAAATCTTTCTTATCTTATTCTAATGTGCTTTTTAAAACATGCTAGAACAAAAAACATGCAAAGAGAAAAAGATCCCACTGGGGGGTCTTTATTGATTCGTAAAGTTTTGATACAGTTGGACCATGACTGCTCCACGTAAAATTCACATATGGTATAAGAGGGCACTCCTAACACCTCAAGTAACCCCAGCAACAGAAGCCAATATGTGACGCAAATGGGGCAAACTCTTCTGCACAACCAATTAAGTTGGTGTCCCACAGGGGAAATGCCTGGGGCCCCCTTCCTTTCTCCTTTTTACATAAAGACCTACCAAAAGCTTTGCAATTACTCAACCCCCACTATTGAGATGACACTCAAACGTCTTCTCCCACCCCAGCCCAGTCCGCTAGCCAAACGTAAATACCGAATTCAGAAAATATCTACCCGGAGAGGCTAACAAACTTACACTAAAAAATTGACAAAACCCACTTTATTCAGTTTGGTAACAGAGTCAGATGTCCCTCTTAAAAATAAAAATAAAGGAACATCACAAAGCTAACAGAGGGAAAATTTTTAGGAATCCCCCTTTATAATAGACTAAATTTCATCAATATACAACAATTTTTAAGAAAAATTTTAAAAACGTAGGCATACATCGAAAACGGTACTATGCTCCACATCGCCCTCTGGCCCATAAACTCCTTATTTACCCCCATTCCACTATGGAATTTGGCTGGGGCCCCAACAAAAAATTAAACCCTCTCAGACCCCTAATTACCCCCAAAAAAAGGCTGCAGTTAGAATGATAACAAATTCTCACTCAGGCAGCACCCCACCCAAAATTCAATTCACTAAACCTACTCACCCTACAAAACATCCATACTTATTACTGCACCTATTACATACATAGAACACTTAACTGATATTAACCCTCCCCTCAAACATCTCCTTGCCAACCTCAACAGAACACATGACCATAACACAAGGCACAGATCACTCTTTGATGTTCCTCGTGTCCATCTCACACTATGTAAAAACTCAATGCACATAAAAGGCCCTAAAATCTGGAATTCATTGCCTGTAAATATAAAAGAAACACTACCTGTTTATAAATTCAAGTCTCTTCTCAAAGATCACTTTCTCACCTGGAGTTTACCTGGAGTTTACCTGGAGAGAGTTCCGGGGGTCAACGCCCCCGCGGCCCGGTCTGAGACCAGGCCTCCTGGTGGATCAGAGCCTGATCAACCAGGCTGTTGCTGCTGGCTGCAAGCAAACCAACATACGAGCCACAGCCCGGCTGATCCGGAACTGACTTTAGGTGCTTGTCCAGTGCCAGCTTGAAGACTGCCAGGGGTCTGTTGGTAATCCCCCTTATGTGTGCTGGGAGGCAGTTTGAACAGTCTCGGGCCCCTGACACTTTTTGTATGGTCTCTTAAAGTGCTAGTGACACCCCTGCTTTTCATTGGGGGATGGTGCATCGTCTGCCAAGTCTTTGCTTTCGTAATGAGTGATTTTCGTGTGCAAGTTCGGTACTAGTCCCTCTAGGATTTTCCCAGGTGTATATAATCAGGGTATCTCCCCCTCCTGCGTTCCAGGGAATACAGGTTTAGGAACCTCAAGCGTCCCAGTAATTGAGGTATTTTATCTCCGTTATGCGCGCCGTAAAGGTTCTCTGTACTTTTTCAAGGTCAGCAATTTCACACTGCCTTGAAAGGTGCGTTATGTGCAGCAATATTCCAGCCTAGATAGAACAAGTGACCTGAAGAGTGTCATCTTTGGGCTTGGCCTCCCTAGTTTGAAGGTTCTCATTATCCATCCTGTCATTTTTCTAGCAGATGCGATTGATACAATGTTATGGTCCTTGAAGGTGAGATCCTCCGACATGATCACTCCCGGGTCTTTGACGTTGGTGTTTCGCTCTATTTTGTGGCCAGAATTTTGTTTTGTACTCTGATGAAGATTTAATTTCCTCTGTTTACCATATCTGAGAAATTGAAATTTCTCATCGTTGAACTTCATATTGTTTTCTGCAGCCCACTGAAAGATTTGGTTGATGGTCTGCCTGGAGCTTTGCAGTTCTGCAAGGGAAGACATGTCATGCAGATTTGGGTGTCATCTGCAAAGGAAGACACGGTGCTGTGGCTGACAACCTTGTCTATGTCGGATATAAGGATGAGGAACAAGATGGGAGCGAGTAACTGTGCCTTGTGGAACAGAGCTTTTCACCGTAGCTGCCCCCGGACTTTACTCTGTTGAAAGACTACTCTCTGTGTTCTGTTAGTGAGGAAATTATGATCCATCGACCGACTTTTCCCGTTATTCCTTTAGCACGCATTTTTTGCGCTATTACGCCATGGTCCCCACTTGTCGAAGGCTTTTGCAAAGTCTGTATATATTACATCTGCATTCTTTTTGTCTTCTAGTGCATTTAGGACCTTGTCGTAGTGGTCCAAATAGTTGGGGACGGGAAGGGCGCCCTTTTTCAAAACCCATTTTCCCCCGGGGTTTGTGTAACTAAATGGGTTTCTAGTTTTGCGTGGTGATCTTCCCTTCTTGGGGGCCCCTTTTTCAAAGTTTTTTATGATAGGGGACGTTGTGCTTTTGGGTCTGTAGTTTTTGCTGTTGCTTTACTGCCCCCTTTTGGAGTGGGGCTATGTTGTTGTTTTAGTAACTGGGGGGACGACCCCTTTTCCTGCCCCCTTCCATAGGGGGAAAAAGGCTCGTGATAGGGGCTTCTTGCAGTTCTTGAGGGAACACAGATTTCCCCATGATTTCGGGCCCTGGGGCAGAGGCAGGGGCATGTTCATTTATGGGCCTGTTCAAAATTCATTTGGGGGCGGGGATAACATGGGAAAATAGCTTGTTTAATAAAATTTTTGGGCCTCTCTCAAAAAAAAATTCATTTTATCTTCGACTTCGGGTTGGTTAGCGGCTTGCAAAAACTGAGTCTTTTTGGGGGGACGGTAGCTCACTCTTTTCCCTTGCTGGTCATCTGTGTAGGCCCATTTTGTTTAAGTGGGGGGGCCCAAATAGGGGACGTTGTTCTCGATTTTGATTTGGCAATAGGAGAAAAAAATACTTTGGGGTTTTCTTTGGGATTTCATTTTTTGGTTTTAGTTCTTCCGCGATTCCGGTTTTTTTTAAAGGAATTTTTTTGTTTAAAGTTCGATGCTTGCTATTTCTTGACCAGTGTCTCCCTACCCCTTTCAGATAATTGACCTCTTTTACCCGCTTGTTATTTTTTTCCCGTCCCCTGAAAAGGGGAGCGCCTTTTCTTTTTCTTTTTAAAAACCCTACCCCTTTCCTTTTTTTAGGGGGAATTTAACCCTTGGGCATACATCGGCCCCCCACCGATTTTTATCGTTTTGGCAAAATTTGGGGGGTTCTGTGTTTGCTTGGTTTTTTCCAGTTATATCGGTTGGGGACTTGGTTTACTTGGTCCCCTTTATTTTTTTGTATTAAAATTTGGGAATTTGGTAAAATGCCCCCTCGGATAATCTCTTATGTGGGTTTGGGGCTCCGCGAAATACATGACTAAACCCCCTTTAAAGTTGTGTTTGGGAGTTTATTGTTTTTAAAATTGGTGATTTTTCTTATCAAAATCATCATTTTTAGTGAAATGAGGTCTATTTGATTCCCAAAGTTAGTAGGCTCTTTTTTTTGTGGTTTAAATTAAATTTTTGTCCCCAGAGTTTTAAAAAACCCTGCGTGGGGTTTTTGAGTTTTCATCAGGGCTCCCTTTCCGGGTTTGTTTTTACTCCCAAATTTTTATTATTTGTTATATTCCCCCTTTTTAGGTGTTTAAAGTTGAAATCCCCAGGGAAGATTTTTGGGTCAGGGGGCGGGAAAGGGGTTTTCCGGACAGTGGTAAATTTTTAAAGCTTTTCCCGGGGGAAAATTGCTGGGATGTTGCTCCGGGGGGGTTGTAGGACTACCCACAATGACTAGGTTTTTTGGTTTCTCGCCTTTACTGTTTAAAATTTCCATTCATAATTTGAGGCATTTAGCGTTCTGTCCCAAAAAAGGGTGACTTTTGAAAAGTACGGGCCCAAACCCCCCCCCCTTTTGCCTGTTCACTCTGTCACATTGTTAGGTTGAAACCCTTGGGACCCTTATTTCGTTGCCCAAAAGTGATTTTTTGGGGTGGGTCTCAGGGGGAAACCCCGGGGAACATTCCCTTTGGGTTTCTGCAAGCGGGTCCCGGTAAAAGGTATTTTGTTGTTTGTTGCTGGCTTTCCCCTTTGTATATTTGCAAAGAAGAAAAAATTTAATGAATAACGGAAACCTTTTTAATTTGGGATATCTTAAAGGGTTTCTCACAATTATTTCACTTAAATGTAAACTAAAAACCCAAACTAACTTTATTTTTTTTTTAAAACCCTACCTAACAGAAAAACTCCATATGGTGAATTTTTCAAAAATGCATGCAACCCTATGACCTGTCTTTTTTAAAACTCCTTGTGCTTTATAGTTATCTGTTTCCCTTAATGTTTTTCACTTTAATTTTATCATTGCCTTTGCCAAAACTTAAATTTTAAATTTTAAAGCCAGCCCCTAATGTATGCATAGTATAAGTGGCTTTGGGAGGTGCTCTTATCTGTATTTTTTTGTCCTCTTTTTGTGGCTCAAATTGGTAAATAAATTTAAAAAAATAAAATTTTTTTTACCTTGTATTTGTGCCCCAAATTTTTTAAAAAATTTAAAAAATAAAAGGGACTCGTTGATAATTCTTATCAAAAAGGTTGTTTACGTGGGAAAAAAAATCAGTATTCCCTTTCAGAGGAAAAACCACCAAAAAAAAATATATGTTCTTTGAATGTTTACGATCATATATTATTTATACATAAGTTATTTGAGAGTGTATGATAGCGTAGTTATTTGCATTACTGTGCGTATATTTATATATAAATGGTAGAGGCTAAAAAGTTTAGGTGAGACTGAAATAAGCTTGTTGAGCCTAGGATCAGCTGGTCCAGCAGTGTAACACTGAGCTGTTGTGTTGATGTTTATGTTATTTTATAATGTTTAAGCTGAGGAAAGGCAGGTTCGGGTGAGTAAATATTTTTTTAGTGTGTTAGGGAGGTTGAATGTTTATGGGGAAGTTAACAATCAGTAGAGGAAATGTAAATTGTAAACGGTAAGTTGTTTTACAAGCCGAGAGAAAAAAATGTTTGCCGGTCACTGATGTGGAAGTAAGTACGCTTTATAATGGTTAATTATAGTATATATGACTTTCGAGAAGGTTGACATGATGGTGAATAAGGGTTCTTGATCTAATAATTAGGTACCCTCCCTTTGTGTGAAACCTGATTATCTTAGGTATTAGTTATCCTTTCTTTTGTGAAACCTGATTATCTCGAGTATTAGTTATCCTTCTTATGTGTGTGAAACCTCATTACATAATTGTATGAAATAACAGGTATACAATACCCACAAGTTGATAAGACACATTGTATCTTTATTTCAGAAAAGTTTTGCCAGCATAGCAGACTTATCAGTACACAAGTGTTGCACACAGCCGTTCATAACTGCATGTCTGTTCAAATGAGAGACCATTACTCATTCAATAGTTGTCTTGCCATGAGTGTACTGACATTACAAATCAGATGATACTCTGAAGTACAACATCCTCGCTCCTTCACAGTGCAGGCACTGTGTTTCCCATCTCCTGGACTGGTGTCTGGCTAACTGGTTTCCCTGAATGTCTTCGTAAATGTTACTTTGATCACATTCCAGTAGCATGTCTTAGTCATTAAAACTACTTGTGTTCACTTTCTCCACTCTAACACGCTCACACAAGCCTGCTGACTGCTCAAGCTCGTAGCACTTGAAACCTCCTTTACCTCTACCTCAGGAAATGACTCCAGGTAACCCTCCATTCAACCCTGGTCCTAGGCCAGGCTAAACTGATGATTGCCTGATCAAGGAAGGAAGGAAGGAAAGATATACTTGGAGCAGTTGACCTTTGAAGCACCTTCTAGGTATACCTTTCCTTTCTTCTTTCATGAAGCAATCACTGGTTAAGCCTGGCCCAGAACCAGGCTGCAGAAATAGGAAAACTCTTGAAACCCGTCAAAGGTGTGCCTCAAGTTTATACAGTCTCTTGGTCATACTGTTCAGTTATGTCTATAAAAAAAAAAATTCTCCTTCGATTCATTATTGTTTTGAAATTTCTGTTATTAAAATTTTCCTGAGATCATTTCCCTTGATTCATTTTTTTTCTGTAAAATGCCAGGAAAATTGTGCTTCTAAAATAATTTTGTGAAAAAAAAAAAGTTCTGTCAGCAACTAGAGGCCTGTTAGTATACTCAGTGTAATATCGAAAAGTCTAGAGAGGGCGGTGTACTGTCATGTAGTAAAGTATCTTAATGACAACAACATTCTTCATAGTTACCAGTCAGGCTTTAGGAGATCTCATTTAACCGACACCTTCCTAATTAATCTGATGGATTACATAAGAACTGAAATGTCGATAGGGAACCTCATGGGAATGGTAACCTTAGACTTGCAAAAGGCCTTCGACACTGTCAGCCACAATATATTATGCAAGAAACTTCAAGCTATCTCCATAGGTTCCGTAGACTGGTTTAAGTCCTATCTTAACAACAGGAAACAAATTGTCAAAATCAACAAAACAGAGTCAGAACCCCTGCCGATAGCATTTGGAGTTCCCTAAGTTAGTATTCTGGGTCCCTTATTATTCCTATGTTATGTAAACGACATGTCCATCAATGTCAAATACAAACTCCTACTGTATGCGGATGACAGTGCTCTTGTAAGTGTCAGGTAAAGACACACAAGATATAGCTAATGTAATAACACTGGAACTGGAGTCCTGCAGCTATTGTTACATCTCGGGAAAACTGAAGCCATACTCTTTGGCATGAAACATAAACTGAGAAGGACAAATAATTTTAATGTCTGGTGTAATGGGGAACCCATCACTTCAGTTTCCTCAGTAAAATATCTTGGAATCCCCTTGACCCATGCATATCAGGAGAATTGGTAGGGAACAGTGTAGTAAAGAAAGCGAATGCCAGACTGAAGTTCCTCTACAGACAAGCACAGTATCTACCTACTGAGGCTTGCAGGACCCTATGCCTAGCTCTTATACAATGTCATATGGAGTATGCTTGCTCTTCATGAAAGATAGATTGCAAATCACCCAGAACAAAATGGTAAGATTCATACTGGACCTGGGTCCAAGAGAACATGTAGGCCAGGATGAATTACAACAATTGGATATACCTGGAGTTCTGGGGGTCAACGCCCCTGCGGCCCGGTCTGTGACCAGGCCTCATGGTGGATTAGGGCCTGATCAACCAGGCTGTTACTGCTGGCTGCATGCAATCCAACGTGAGAACCACAGCCCGGCTGGTCAGGTACAGACTTTAGGTGCTTGTCCAGTGCCTGCTTGAAGACAGCCAGGTGTCTATTGGTAATCCCCCTTATGTATGCTGGGAGGCACTTGAACAGTCTTGGACCCCTGACACTTACTGTGTTGTCTCTTAACATGCTAGTGACACCCCTGCTTTTCATTGGGGGATGTTGCATCGTCTGCTGAGTCTTTTGCTTTCGTAGGGAGTGATTTTCGTGTGCAAGTTTGGTACTAGTCCCTCTAGGATTTTCCAGGTGTATATAATCATGTATCTCTCCTGCCTGCATTCCAGAGAGTACAGGTTCAGGAACTTCAAGCGCTCCCAGTAATTGAGGTGTTTTATCTCAGTTATGTGTGCCATGGAGGTTCTCTGTACATTTTCTAGGTCAGCAATTTCACCTGCCTTGAAAGGTGCTGTTAGTGTGCAGCAATATTCCATCCTAGATAGAACAAGCAACCTGAAGTGTGTCATCATGGGCTTGGCATCCCTAGTTTGGAAGGTTCTCATTATCCATCCTGTCATTTTTCTAGCAGATGCAATTGATACAGTGTTATGGCCCTTGAAGGTGAGATCCTCCGACATGATCACTCCCAGGTGTGTGGTTGGAATTTGTTTTATTCTCTGATGAAGTTTTAATTTCCTTACGTTTACCATATTGGAGTAATTGAAATTTCTCATTGTTGAACTTCATATTGTTTTCTGCAGCCCATTGAAAGATTTGGTTGATGTGCGCCTGGAGCCGTGCAGTGTCTGCAATGTAAGACACTGTCATGCAGATTTGAGTGTCATCTGCAAGGGAAGACATGGTGCTGTGGCTTACATCCCTGTCTATGTCATATATGAGGATGAGGAACAAAATGGGAGCGAGTACTGTGCCTTGTGGAACAGAGTTTTTCACCGTAGCCGCCTCAGACTTTACTCTGTCGACTACTACTCGTTGTGTTCTGTTTGTCAAGAAATTATAGATCCATCTACCAACTTTTCCTGTTTTTCCATTAGCATGCATTTTGTGCACTATTACGCTGTGGTCACACTTGTCAAAGGCTTTTGCAAAGTCTGTGTATATTACATCTGCATTCTTTTTGTCTTCTATTGCATCTAGGACCTTGTCGTATGCTGAATGTTGAACACAGAGTAACACAACTGAAGTTAAATCAAGTTTATAAAATTGCTCACAGTGTTCAGAATATCTTGCTGCCAGTTTTGTCAAGGCTGGGAACCAAAGGAACCATAGTACTAGGGGGAGAGAACACAACTTTGTAGTACCCAAAGTCAGTGGCTAGGCTTCAAACACCTTTTATTGTACATCAATAAAGGAATGGAACAGAATGCCTGCACATGTCAGAGCCAGTCATTGCATGAGCCAGCTCAAGAAGAGAGCCAAAAGGTGCCTGGTGAATATAGTGACAGAAATTGAGGAGAATTATTTTTTATTTTTTTTGGCTAACACACATGTAAATATACACAACTAATTTCACCTTATTCGTAGTACATATCTCCTTTAATTTCTTTCTTTCAACACACCGGCCATATCCCACCGAGGAGGGGTGGCCCAAAAGGAAAAACGAAAGTTTCTCCTTTTACATTTAGTAATATATACAGGAGAATGGGTTATTAGCCCCTTGCTCCTATATCTCCTTTTATAGTATGAAAATAAGATATTACATACCTCCTTTATAGTTTTATGCATAGTATAATAATAAGATATTATCTCCCTTATAGTATAATTTTATTTATTTATTTATTATTTGGACATGATACATAGTTGTACAAAAGAAATACAGTGGTTTAGTGCACATGCCAAAAGCCCCTTGTATGCAGAGCATTGTGGGCAGGCTTAAAATTAACTTAAGATTAACTAACAATGATATATTCATTAGTAAAAATACAGTAAACAAATTACAACATGAAGTACAAATGAGTATTTCAAATAAGAGGCTTTATAGTTGTACAAATTTGTAGCATATTTGATGAGTTACTGAGCATTCAAGTGAGTTAAGTTTCTGTTAGGTAATGTAATTACAAAAAACATAGTTTGATAGGGTCACAGGTTATACATTTATGAGATACAGTTAATCAGTATTTATTTAGTTGTGTGTGAGTAAGTGGTTTTTAAGAAGAGTCTTGAATTGATAAACTGACAGTGTTTCTTTTATATTCACAGGTAATGAATTCCAGATTTTTGGGCCTTTTATGTGCATTGCATTTTTACATAGTGTGAGATGGACACCAGGAACATCAAAGAGTGATCTGTGCCTTGTGTTGTGGTCATGTGTTTTGTTGAGGTTTGTAAGGGGAAGTTTGAGGGGAGGGTTTATATCCGAGTAAAGTGTTCTATGTATGTAGTAGGTACAATAATAAGTATGGATGTTTTGTACGGTGAGTAAGTATAGAGTTTTGAATATTGGTGGAGTATGCTGCCTGTAGTGGGAATTCGTTATCACTGATTGCAGCCTTTTGTTGGGTAATTAATGATCTGAGATGGTTTATTGTTGTTGAGCCCCATGCACAAGTTCCATAGGTGAGATAGGGGTAAATGAGTGAGTGATATAGGGCCAGGAGGGCTGACTGTGGAACATAGTACCGTATCTTCGATAGTATGCCTACGGTCTTGGAAATTTTCTTGGAAATGTGTTGTATATGTGTTTGAAATTTGAGTCTATTATCAAGGTGGATTCCTAAGAATTTTCCCTCTTTGAGCTTTGTGATAGGTGATCCATTTATCATTATGTTAAGAGGGACATCTGTGGTTCTGTTTCCAAACTGTATGAAGTAGGTTTTGTTAATATTGAGAGTAAGTTTGTTAATCGTCATCCAGGTAGATATTTTCTGTAATTCGATATTTACAGTATTGGCTAACATGACTGGGCTTGGGTGAGAGAAGACGTATGTAGTGTCATCTGCAAATAGTGTAGGTTTGAGTAGTTGCGATGCATTTGGTAGGTCGTTTATGTAAATGAGAAAGAGAAGAGGGCCAAGGACACTTCCCTGTGGGACACCAACTGTAATTGGCTGTGTGGAGGAGTTTGCTCCATTTGTGTACACATATTGGCTTCTGTTGCTAAGGTATGACTTAAGGTAGTTGAGGGAGTGCCCTCTTATACCATAGTGAAACAATTTTATGTGCAGCAAATCATGGTCAACTGTATCAAAAGCTTTTTGTAAATCAATGAAGATCCCAATGGGACTTATTTTTTCTCGAGTGCAGTGTATATTTGTTAGCATGTGTATAATAGCGTCATTCGTTTTTTTATTTGGCCTGAACCCATACTGACGGGTTGAGCAAGTTTTGGGAGATGAGGTAGGAATAGATTTGCTTATGAACTAATTTTTCAAAGATTTTAGAGAGAGGGTGTAAGTTGGATATTGGCCTATAGTTATTCAAGTCTGTTTGATCTCCTCTTTTATGTACTGGGGTGACCCTAGCTATTTTGAGAATTGTGGGGAAGGTAGAGGATTCGATGGATTTGTTAAAGAGTGTTGCAATGATTGGTGACAGCACGTGCGAAACTTTTTGTATATAAAGGGTGGTAGGGTATTTAAATCTCCTGCCTTGTTTTTTAGTGTTTTGATGATAAGGGAAACTTCTGTTGCGTTAGTAGGAGCTAAGAACAGTGTGTTCAGGTAGTTGCCAGTGAGGTAGTCATTGGGTAGGGTACTTGAGCTTGGTATTTTATCTCCTATGGTGGAGAGGAAAACATTGAGTCTGTTTGCTGTTTCAGTTGGTGGGAGTTGGGGTTCATCTTGTTTTGTTAGTTTGATTGCTCTGTTTCCTGATATATTTTTTTGTTCCTAGAATTTCAGATAGGCTTTTCCAGGTCTTTTTTATATCACCTTTTACGTTGGATAATCTGTTCTCATAATACAATTTTTTTGCCCTTCTTATCAGGCTGATTAGGATTGATGAGTAACATTTTGTTTGGTCTCTGGCTATGTGAGCCATTCTATACTGTTTTTCGTATTGGTGCTTTGTATTTATGGATTTGAGGATACTGGGTGTTAGCCAGGGATTGTCCAGTCTCTTAGCTGTGATCTGTTTGTTTTTTAGGGCAGTGCTTGTTATAGAGGTATTGGGTCTTTTTTAGAAAATTATTAATACATTAGTCAGTATCTGTACAGTATAGGTTTCTAGCTCAGTTAACCAATCAATGTTTGTCATTGCTGTTGTGAGGTTATTAATGGCTGCCTTATTATGAAGTCTGAAGGTTACTTTAGTAGTGTCTTGGGGTAATTTACCTAGATTGGTTATGAGAAAGGTAGGGTAGTGGTCTGTGGTGTTATGTGTAATTATGCCTGATTTTAAAGGGGATATGGTGTTGGTCCAGATGTGGTCATAGGGAAACACTAGTCTCTGTAATTCTTGTAGGTTTTGTTACTGTTGGTAGCAACAAGCAGTTACTCGTAGTGTTTGTGAATTCAGTAATGTGTGGGTCCTGGTCTTGCAGGAGATTTATATTGAAGTCACCTGAGAGTAGTAAGTGATCTGTATTTGTGTGTGCATCAGTTATCATACTTCCTAGGTTTTCACTAAAATGGCTAATGTTTGACTGTGGTACTCTATAGATGTTTATCACTGTTAGAGGTTTTTGTAGGTATTTGGATTTGAATTTAGCTATTGTTTATTCCTCATGTTCATCCCTTGTGCAAGTATTAGTGATACATTCTAGTTGGCTGAGTAGTATATAGCTGTACCACCTCCTTGTTGATCTGGCCTACAGTTGTGTATGGCTGTGTAACCAGGAATGGCATAGATGTCTGTAGTATCTAGCTTTAGCCAGGTTTTGGTGAGAGTAATGATGGACATACATGTATTCTAGTTTACAGAAATTGAGATGATTTTGACTGGTTTTACAATGAAAAGTACCTTGAAATTGAGCTCAAAGTAGCAGAAATGTTCGATTTTTACCAAAGTTCAAAAGTAAACAAATCATGCCAAGCGTCCAATACACATCAACTGGTGAGTCTAATATTCTTTCACAAGTGTGCTGATATTATTTATACCATTTCTACACTAATGCAGTAGTCTGCATAACAGTAAATCTTCTATTTTTTGTAAGAATAAAAATTCAAAGTGGAAAGCCAAAGAAATATAAGAGGGGCTTGGGGATGTGACTAGCAAACAGAGAACTTGTTATTTTAGTGCCAGGAATGTCTTTCTTGTTTATTCTGGATCCTATTCGGAAATTGGCATCTTTTGAAGTTTGTGTGAAATTGGCAAAAATTGCTAAATTCTGACCACTTTATTGGATAGTTGAAATCGGTAAATGGGTGGTTTCTTGTGCTCATTCGATAGAAAAAATGGAGTTCTAGTGAAATAGTTATGATTTTTGTCGACTAGTACACTGGAATTGGCCGAAAATAGAGCTCAAAGTGGGCAAAATCGCCGATGCGTAAACATTGTCGAGATCGCTAAATTCACGAGAGCATAATTCTGTAAGTTTTCCATCAAATTTCATACTTTTGGTGTCATTATGATCGGGAAAAGATTCTCTATCTTTTCATAAGAAAAAATATTTTTTTTTTTTTAAATTTGGGCGACCCTGAGAACAAGTCTCGGAGAGGGCCTGGCAACCCTGAAAGGGTTAAATGAATAAACGAGAGAGAGAATGAGAGTGTAGAAGGTTCGTGAATTATGTACACAAACGTTGTTGTTGTTGTTACCAGCCTGGACACGAATGGTTTTTGTTCACTCTGTCAAGCCGACCAGAAAAAATATCTCATATTTGTTAACATATAAGTTTATATGTTATGTAGCATGTTTATTATATAATTTTGAAAAACTCATAAATGGATTAAGCAAAAATGTCTATATTAATGTTTTATACACATTTAATGTGCCTCAGTGATTATTATTGTGTTATTATCATTATTAACCCCTTTCAGGGTCGCCAGGCCCTCTCCGAGTTTGTTCTCAGGGTCCCCCAAATTTCAAAAAAAAAAAATTATTTTTTCTTATGAAAAGATAGAGAATCTTTTCCTGATCATAATGACACCAAAAGTATGAAATTTGATGGAAAACTTACGGCATTATGCTCTCACGAAGTTAGTGGTCTCGACAATGTTTACGCATTGGCGATTTTGCCCACTTTGAGCTCTTTTTATGGCCAATTCCAGTGTACTAGTCGACAAAAATCATAACTACAGTGGACCCCCGCATAATGATTTTAATCCGTGCAAGAGGGCTCATTGTTATGCGAAATAATCGGTATGCGAATGAATTTTCCCCATAAGAAATAATGGAAATCAAATTAATCCGTGCAAGACACCCAAAAGTATGAAAAAAAAATTTTACCACATGAAATATACATTTTCCTACACACAAAGAGAAGGATACATGCACAATAGTAGAGTAGTACATGTACAGTATATATTGTGCATGTACTAGTCTACTAAATGAAGAATAAATGACACTTACCTTTATTGAAGATGCAGCAATGACTGATGAGACACTGTGTCCTGGGAGTGCCTTTTCCTCCTGAGTACTGTAGGTCCTGTTTGGCATTTTCTTCCAGAACAGGCCTTATCACACTGTGTATGCCACTACGATTCTTAAATCTCTCAAACCAACCTTTGCTGGCTTTAAATTCACCAATATGAGCACTAGTTCCAGGCATTTTTCCCTGTTCACCTGGGTGTTAGTCGACTTGTGTGGGTTGCATCCTGGGAGACAAGATTAAGGACCCCAATGGAAATAAGTTAGACAGTCTTCGATGACACTGACTTTTTTGGGTTATCCTGGGTGGCAAATCCTCTGGGGTTAATTGTTTCTTGGTATTCTCAATAAGCCACACCAACAACGGTGCTACAGCAGCAGCAGCAGCTGACGGTGGTACAGCAGCAACAGACAATGCTACAGCAGCAGCAGACGATGCTACAGCAGCAACTGACGATGTTACAGCAGCAACTGACGATGCTACAGCAGCAGCAGCAGCAGCAGACGATGCTACAGCAGCAGCAGACGATGCTACAGCAGCAGCAGACGATGCTACAGCAGCAACAGACGATGCTACAGCAGCAACTGACGATGCTACAGCAGCAACTGACGATGTTACAGCAGCAGCAGACGATGCTACAGCAGCAGCAGCAGCAGGCGATGCTACAGCAGCAGCAGCAGCAGACAATGCTACAGCAGCAGCAGACGATGCTACAGCAGCAGCAGCAGCAGACGATGCTACAGCAGCAGCAGACGATGCTACAGCAGCAGCAGACGATGCTACAGCAGCAGCAGACGATGCTACAGCAGCAGCAGCAGCAGCAGCAGCTGTACCACCAATAGTAGCGATGG